TATTAGTAACAACAATGTATTTTAGGAATATATATTAGCTCTACATATATATCATCATGATATACAAATGTACTAATTCTTTTCCTATTTTGATATTATCAATAAATAAAAAAAAAAAAAAAAAGTTCTTCAAATATAAATTGTGATTTTTCATATTCAAAAGCTTTAATTAATTTTTCTTATTCGTAAGAGCTACAATAGAGAATATCTTTATATATTAAAATTTTTTTTACCTATAATTTATACTCTTGTAGCTTTTGAGAGTTCTTTAGTAACAAATAATATAAGTACTTCTATAATTTTTTGATCATTAATATTGACCTTTTCTTCTTTAGTTTTAGTACATATAAAAATAAGTACTTTTTCACATTCTAAATTCATATCACAAACTGAAGATACTTGTAGTATTTCAAAAATATTACTCTTCTAAACATAGTTGTTATGACAAAATACAGTTAATGTACTATATTTTTTATATTTACTGCTATTCTATATTTTATTAACTAAGATAACTTTAATAATAATTTTTATTTCTAAGCTCTTATCCTTTTTATCCTTTTTAAGAATATATAAGCTCTGAGGTCTGGCGATCTTAGTGTAGTGGTTAGGTTGCCAGACCACCATGCAAGAGGTCTGGAGTTCAAATCCTACTGTCGATGAATTTGAATAATTACTCGGACCTTTGTACCCAACTTACGGTAAACTCTGTCTGTTTCTAGGCTTGTAACCCTGTAAATCATGTTGCACTAATATCATCCAGATATTGGAAGTGTGACGAGGCGTTTGGAGAGACATAACATTACATGAATAAATCTTGATAGGATCTATGGGCAGGGGACCTGCATGGTAGAAATCCTGAGTTAGTGAAGTAGTACAGCTTTCGACGGTCATACCAGCTAACGCTTGATCCAGAAGGATAGTATGCTCAAAGACTTTGATCGAGTTAGGTACGCATAAGTCCATATCGCAGTGGGGATCACTGTATGTTATGGTTATACCAACCTAGCTTAGCGGCTAACTATATTGGGAGGATCTAACTCGTAATAGGCCTCAGCAAGATCTCAAAACAACACTAGTGGAGAGCTACAGTAGGAACTGGTGTTGTATGAACATCCACAAGGATCTAAGCTAGGTGAGTCCGTGAAATAGGCATAGGCCG